AAAAAGGTAATATCTATTCCTAACTAAATTTGGTTTACAATAGAACTTACACAAGAAACTAATTTTGGAGGGATTTTCATGTAGAAATTGAGAATCAAAATTACAGAATCGAAGAATTTAATGCTACTTCGGTAACAATACCACTAGAAGAAAACATTGGAAACATTTAAAGTTTTGGTCGTCCACCGCGTTTCCACTTAGATTTTCCTAGTGGTAATAAAATGGTACGGACCTGGAATCCTGCAAATCACCTACAACAGAAACCATTACTGAACCTCCCCCTTTTACCAGTGGCTCTTCTTGTATTAATTACATTCCATACCAAAGTATTATTCATCTCGTGTTTTTCCCGTCGCGTCTTTACTCGTATCCAGGGGAATGGTCAAAAAATGCGCTGTATTTTCAGATACTAAAGACTGTTTATGATTTTGACGGAGTTTGTGCTTCAATTTTATTTTCTTTATTGTTATTATTGGTCATATATCGATATTAGTATATTTTTAGAACGTTGAAAACACATGGTATTCATAATTTATGATGAAATTAACTCGTGCAAGTGATATTGTTACCGTAATGACATTAAATCCTTTAATTCCGTAATTTTTGTTCCTAATTTCTACATGAATAGCTTTCCATAGTTATTTTCTACATTAAATTCTCTAATTTCATAATTTCCTTTGATAATTTCTACATGATAATCCTTCCATAATTAGTTTCTTGCACATTTTAGAAATATTTCATTAGCGTTAGGAATGAACATACTTTTTTTTTCTTGTGTCACAAACATCAGCCCCATCGTTCTTTAATATTATTGCGCGTATCGATATTGATTATCTAGAAATCATAATGACCTTGTAAAAAGACAATTAGAGACATCGAACGATAATTGCTTAATTTGTAGAAAGCCTCAAAAGAAACAATCAATGTAAAATACTAACCTTAGAATTAGCATAGTAATTCGAAATTGTATTTGTAGAGGTGCTCTTAAGCCTCTGAGAAGATATGCTTTGATCAAATAAAATAACAAAGTTATTATTCGTAATAATAATATTACTCATGAATACACTATTATTTCTTTATCATTATCAAATCTTGCGAAGCACAGTAGCAAGTAGTGGTTGCTCTCTACTCTAAATAAGTGTTGGTTTTCTTTGAATTGATATTTTGTTTTTATTTTATTTTGATTTTGAGTTTTTCTTTGTCAAACAAAAAATGTATTTATATAGTAAAATTTCGCATGGAACAGTTTTTGTTACAAAAAAAATATCAAGTGGCCCGCATATGCGGTGGTCACCCTGGTGAAGTCAAAGATTTTTTATTGACGTTAGACAGAATGTCGACCATTGATTTTACTTAAGTGATTTTAAAGCTATTTACAGAAAAGGTTTTAGAAGAAATGCATATACATGTGAATGAATAAATTTATATATAAACGATAAAAAAAACTAGTCTATTATTATATTATAATCTAGTCTATCTGAAATCAATTTTGTCAATGACTCAAGTTTTTTCTCTAATTCAACAACACGATTTTCTAATACCCCGATTTTCTCTTTATAGTCTTTATTATATCCGATTGAAGAAACAATATTGTCACTTGCTACTGAAGATTCTACGTTATTATTGGCAGTAGTACTATTACTATTATCGAAATTAAAAGGAAAATCTGATTGAATGGATAGAATGGGAGAAAATAAAGATATCTCCGGTGTAAGATTATCGATGAATTGAGTATCTAATTTGAAGTCTAAGGGAACATAATTGTCATTTTTTAGTACTGGAGAATCAGTATTGAATATGTTTGCAGCATTTGAAGTAGTGATATTTTGACCTTTTGTCACAGGTTGCTTTGAAGAAGATGAATGTGAAGATGATGGTAATAAAGATTTAAAATTGAGGTCACTCAAGTTACTCGAATTCGAAAACACAAATTCGAACGCATTCGAATTATTGTTCGTATTAGAAGAAGGATCATCTTTGCCATCAATTGAAAAAGTATTTTGTCGTTTACTCGTAACGAAAAGTGGACTTCGTTCATGGCAAATTTGTATATACAAATCTTTGGCTTCTTTTGCGATGCGTCGATATTCTCGTCGTACGTGTTCCTCTTCTTTGAGCCATGATTGTTTGACCAACGCCGAAAGTTGTGGTTGTGTTATCACTGGATGTTTAATCAAACGAAGTTCTTTACAAAATGCTATGCGGTAAGCGATAAATGCATTGGGAATACGCGATGTTTCTCCGCTGGTCTCTAGCTTCGCGACGGCTTTATCAATGAGATTGATTGGAGTGATTTCTGGAGGGAAACGAACTTTAACTTCTGGCATTATGTATCCTCTCTTACTGGGTGCGACTGATCTCATGTTTTAAAAAAATTTAACAAATAATTATTTTGAATTTTATTTTGGTTGAGTTTTTGAACGAATTGGAATTGCAAAAAGCCAGGAAATGAGTACTCGCGCTCGCTATTTATAAGTAATGTTTTATATGTATGCATGCATATTCTATGGTTATATGCCATTGGAAATGCTAAAGTTTTGTATGTGTTGAGATTTGTAAAGCGAAATTTTTTCTTTGATTGTTTCAAGTTTCATATTTGTATTTCTCGGACCATGCTTTCCAGAAATATGCATTACCATTACGTATTGCAAACGCATTTAAATTACTCCCGTCGATCAATTAAACCAATCTCATCGCCAAGCGATAATATTTTGTTCTCTTGAATAGAACAGTTACTGTGATTATATACCGGAACTAACACGGCACTCCCGTAGACAGGCATAACAATTAGAATGAGTATAGTTTCTTTTATTTGACTTGAATTGAATTGGATATTTGGCGTTTAGTTTCTAGTAAAAAGAAGTATGGCGATAGAAAACACGAGAAGTTCTTTGTGGAAGCTCTTCTAGAGTTGGCTGTGATTATTTGCATATACTCATCAGGGTCGTTATCTAAAGTTGCAGATAGGAACTATCACTATGATAAATTCAAAATATATGAACTAATTATCCTTGGATAAATAAAATACCGTGTCACATAGCGAAATGTTTTTTATGTCTTAAAAAGTAAGGTAGAACATTCGAATTCTAATTTTAGAGAAATTTTTAGATTTCTCCTCATACATTCTATAAAACAAAAAGGAAATACTGTAGATTTGTCTATTTTTTATATAGGTTCTATTTTGAGGCAAAATTACCATGTGTATTACGTAATGGGTCACGAGAATCTTATTCTGATACAGTCAAAGTCCTTTACAACGGCGCTGTATACATCAGATTCGGCTTATACCGTATGGATATCCCGATTTTTAACTAATTAAAAACTCCCTATTATAAGCAATATATACTGGCCCAAAAGTGCCATCCGATGCGGCCATGGTAAAGGACTTTGACGATACATGTATACCTAATATAGAAAGCATATATTATAGTCATGTGATTTATCTTAGGGGCCCCCCATACGACCATTCCTTTTTTCCAGCAAAATGACTTGAAATGAAGTACATGCACATAGCGATAGTAGAGAAATCGAATAATTGCATAGATATAAACGTAGTTTTCCTTGGCTTTAATACGATAAAGCCTAACCAAAATAGTAGTCGATCGTCAAGTTCCACATAATTATCTTTCAAGACACACATTTGGAAAAGTACGTAGTGTATTAAATTTCCTTTTCTGTGTGTGTGTTTAGTCAATCAAGTACATGTTCACGTAATACGTAGACAACGATAAATGATACTGGTCTCCACCGCTTACAAATAACATTTGAAATAACCAAAAACATACGAATACGATATCAAATATGGCTATTATTCGCGAAAAATGATTGTACTGAAATTTTCGAAGTTGTAAATAAATATTATTAATCTTGGGCGAAGGAGTTCCCTTATAAAAAAACTTGTCGATTTCTATCCAAAATTCACCGGTATTTGTATTCCGGAATACCTAAGGTTTTATTAACGAATCCTTGGGCCTTATAATAAAATCTGAAACATAAATTCGGAGAATTTTTATATAGACCCGGATATTCCGGAATATAAGTTCCGGTGAATTTCTTGATAAAAACGACAAGTTTTTATATACGTAGTGGTTCAAAAAAAATGTATTTCAAATTTCTTGGACCGACAACTCTGCAGATACTAAATCAGATATATATAGTGTTTAAACATATGTAATAATTTTATGTGGCAATAATTGCAGTGATATTGTTATATATTGGGCTCCGAACGATTCGGTAAAAAACCGTTACCGATCGGTCAGTAAACCGATCAGTTCGGTAAATTTCGGTAATTACCGACGGTTTACTGAAATATTGAGCAATACCGATACTGATTAATCATTGATTAATCCAGGGTTGAAAGATTTCTGAATTTGCCAAAATATTATTCGTGAAATTTGAAGTAAAATCGATCATAATGTAGGGATAGGAATCGATTCTGAGAATCGATTGATTTTGTAGAATCGAGGAAATCGATTTTTAGAATCGATTAATATTTGAGAATCGATTAAAAATTGGAGAATCGATTTTAAAGACAAAATCGATTAATAACGATAACGATAATGCAATTGGAAAATCATAATTTTCACTAACTACGTACTCTATCATTCAACAAAAAGTTAATATTGATAATAACCAAGAAACTATTGCCAAGATAAAGTTTAATAACTCTGAATCTCAATCTGATGACAATACTTCAATTTGTTTCTATACCACGCCACGTAGTATCTCTACGAATTCAACTAATCAAATTATAATTTCAACTAATCAAAGTACAACTTCAACTATTCCAACAAAAAGGGGAAAAAATCAACGTGCAATGGAAAGACCAGTTATGACATCGCTGTCATCGCCGTTGTTGTTATCGTCGTCATCATCGTCGTACTTTGTGCTCGAGAATCGATTCCCTATCCCTATATCCAATTCTTTCACAATTTGCACCATCTGAATGTCTATTTTCAGATGTGGGAAATGTAATTACACATGAACGAGATCGATTAAATAGCTGTTTGGTAGAACTTGAGAATCGATTCTCAAATTGAAAATCGATTAATCGAAATTATTAATCGATTTTAGAATCGATTCCTATCCCTACTCCGGAGTAGCTGGAGCAGTATTGGAGAAACAATGAAACCGGAGTGGTTTCAATTTGATTGAGCATGAAGTGGTTTGGGTTTATATAATTATGGCATCGGAGCGGAGTGAAACTTAGAAATTACATATAAATGGCTAATATCATTGGTGTTATGTACATGTGTTAAGCAATTTAGTTGATGATTAGAGGAAATTTCTAGGCGGAATTTCAAATTTTCTAGATGATTTCACAAACACAGGTAAAAATGGTACACTAGTGCTCTTTTTAAGTGAACCTCTAAAGAAATTCCGAGTTTTCTTAGTAAATACGGAATACCTTTAAAGGTTCACAAAAAAGTGCACTAGTGTGCCAACCATTTTCTATTTGTGAAACCACTGGAATACTTATTCCTTGATATGCACTTAATACGTGTATATTTAATCACATGGAAAATATAAATTTAAGAATATGAAGAAGTTGTGTTAGACTACTCGAAATTGCAATTAGCTGCAAATGAATATTCGATATACAACTGCATCTCACAAATATATTCCAATACAATTCGCAGTTTGAATCAATAAAAATTTACTATGAGGGATTGTGCATCGTGGAAATGTTATACGTCATCTCGGGATTCATATCAATTCTGAATTGCCATACGTCGTTTCGCAATTCCAAAATGACGTGAGTCATTTCGGAATTCCGAATTGACGTTCGTCGTTACTGCAATATGTCGTTTCGGGATTCACGTCAATTCCGGATTGACGTAAGTCGTTTCAAATTTAGTACCCTAGCCACGGCAAAAAAAAGTGACTGTCGCGTGATGGCAATCCTACCCGACCTCGACCGATCTCTACCCAACCCGGCTTTTAGCTACGGCAAAAAAGTACTTTCACGTGGTAATTTTGCACAACCAATAGAATATAGCTTGAAGCACTATCAAAAAATGTCGGGAAGGCAATTTTATATATAGTCTCTCCTCAAGCTCTAAAATCTGATGTTTAATATTAATCAAATATTTCAATCACACTTTTTTTTACCGTGGCTAGGATATTAGGCTTTTCTTACAATATTGCATCGAGTGATTAAATTATTTTTGACGAGCACTATAATTAAATTTAATGATTTATTTTATTGTTTATTTTTTGAATATAAAGATACAAGCTTAAGGAAAATTTATTATATTATATAATGTATAAAGAATTGCATTAAATAAATAAATTCCAATAATTTTATACCATAATATAATCTTTGAGTAACTACTCCTTGCATTAACTATTCATTTTTCTTGTTTTTTGAAGATGATCCATAATTATTATAACTTTTGATGCATTTTGTCAGTGTTCCTGCATTAGCCTTAGTAGATTAGTATAGGAGTTTGTTCAAATCACGTGATAATTGATGATCACTTACAATCTTTGATTTCGCTAGCATCTCTATTTTAACTATCAGCATCTTGATGGATCAGTAACTATTTATCAAAACAAAAATTTTTGATTCACTTTGCAAACTTTACCTATTTTCTTGTACTAACACATTATCTTTGCATGTTTCTTGTACAAATACATTTGTTCTTGATTTATTTGTGATACAATCATAAAATGAGTTCGAGTAAAGATAGTAATTACATGACTATTAAGAGATTATTCATATTATTCATATTAGTTTGTAAAATATAGAATATTAATAAAGCAATAAACACTTTTTTAGGAATTTCCAATTAGAAAACATGCAATTACTGCTTTAACACAAAAATGAAAAAAGATTTTTGTTGTTTACATGATAATGATCTATAATATGAATACTTAACTTACAATTAATACTATAATAGATACAAGAATAAGTGACAAAAAATGAATTTGATTTCTAAAAAAAAAACTTGAGACTAATTTGAATGTATTAATACCAAGTATCAGTAATAATCTTACAAACACTGAGCTAATATCTGAAGATATCAACTTTCTTGAAGAGCAATCCTCAAATATAAGTGATAATATATATGACAACAATAGTGATGAATTTTGTACAGTTTGAATGAAGTGCAAGAGCTCATCACTAAATAGTTTCAAGATGCTAAAAATTTTAACAAACCAACAAAGTTAGTATTTGAAATCAAATTGAATTTTAAACTCATCAAAAATGTTTCTTTAACTCAACAAAAATTTGAGCAAAATGTATATAATTCAAAAATAATCAAGAAAAATTTTCACTAACTCATCAATATTTTTTTTGGCACTCAAGTTTGGATTAGATTATTACTAAGAGGTGTAACTAGTTTATCTTAACATCAAGAAAAGATTATTTACAGATTGTGCCATGATATATCTTGGATATATACAATAAGAAAACAAAATCTGAGAATTTGTCAATTAAGTGAAGAAATAAAATTCATATTCAAATAAATCAATATGCTTGTATGAAAAATATTATATTTACTATTGATCTCTAATAATAATATATTCTATTATTTACAAATATATAAATATTTATTACATAAATAGATTGAGTTTCCACTAGTAGCAAAGTGATAAATTCAAAATAATATTAAATATCACTTATAAAAATCTGAATTATATAAATATTTTCAATAATATAAACTTATTGATATACAAATTTATACAACAAATAAATATATTACTGGATAATCATTTTTAACAAGCAAATATACATTTTTAATTCTATAAATTAACTTTTATTAGCTAAAAAAATATTTTGAAAAAATACAAGACTTCAAAGTTCTTTATTATCTAGAAAATAACTTCACGAAAACTCTTGAGTTTATAATATTACTACTTAATCATATTAGTACCACAAGCTTAAAAGAAATCATTATAAATTCTATGTTTAAAACAAACTAAGAGCTCTTTGAGCACTTTGTTATAAATGCTAACTATAATGAATACAAAATATTAATAATATATCTATATCTTTTAATATATAATAGCACAGAGAAGGTATATCAAATAAAATTAACACATATATATAGGTACTGCATGAGTTTTTTACCAGTCTTTAACAAGAAATACTACTATCAATCTCTATTTTGTTAAACAAAAATACAGGAAAAATATTAATTGTAGACAAACTTGATCAGAAATAGTGAATTTGTAGCTATATTATTGGTATTTGGAATATATAATTAATCAATATCTAAAAAATAAAAAATTAAGAGTATCTGATTATACAAAAGAAAAAGTAATGGAAGCAAATCAACAGTCTGACTTTATCAAATGATCGTGAATTTTGAATAATAATAACAGAAGCTTGTATTCAGATAAGAAAATCAAGAAAATTATAAATATAATCAAATAACATGCTAATATACATCCACTAATACTAGTAAGAAAAATATCTTCTGGAATTCTGTACAAATTTATCAATATTGTGTACAAGAGACATATTAATTTTGTTATAATCATAATCTTTTGAGCTTGTGAAGTTACCTATAGATAAACTAGTACAATAAAAAAGACTGAAAATTGTTTGTACATTTAACCTATTTATTGATAATATTCCTGACTTGAATCACAATGATCACTAAAAGTCACTGAGTTTTTAAATATAATTATAAGCATTCTCATCTTGATCAGCTTACAGAGATTATTACTAAACAGTTAGTATTAAACTTTGATCGAAAATTAACTTAATACTATACAAACAGCAGTTTTTTATTATGATGACAGGTCTTCAAGAAGAAATAGAACAAAATAGCAGCTACAAGTATCAAATTCGACATGGATGAGAAATATTATATTAATGTAATCAACTAAATATGTTTTTGTTCAGCATATATATGTAGCCTCTACCTCATTTAATTGCAAAAAAAAAATGAATATTTATTATCTAGTTCGGGTATGATCACCATCACGTGATAGGCACTTTTTTTTGCCGAAGATACTAGTTCAAATTCAAAATTAACGTATGTCGTTTTTCGAATTCTAAAATGACGTACCAGTTAAACGATCCGGGATCGACATGGGTACAATACGCGAACGTAATTATAATTTGTATTACATGTAGTTAGCTATGGCAAAAAAAAGGGTCGGATCATGTGATATTTGTGTATGTCCGGAAAAATTATACGGTAATATAGTTTATTGTTAAAGTTTAATTTAAAGGTTAGGCTTAGGGTTAGAGCTGGAGTCAAGACTATATATAAAATTGCCTTTCCGACATGTTTGATTAGTCTACAAAGCTAGATTTAAACATCTGTTTCCCGTATTTTATACATTTTTGCATTTTTCATTTCCTTGTGTCGGATTTGTTTTATTCGACTGATCGAAAATTTGCGCATTTTTTTGGTTTGTGTCGTCACTAGCATATCAAAATTCACTCATTCTTCTTGGTTGTCACGTGACCCGTGAATTTTTTGCCATGGCTAGGGTACTTGAATTTATATTTGTTTTCAAAACGATGTACGTTAATTTTGAATCCAAAACGTACGTCATTTGGAATTCAAAACGACGTACGTCAATCCGGAATTGACGTGGACTCCGAAACGACGTGTTGCAGTCACGTCATTTTGGAATTGCGAAACGACGTATATATAACACATGTGAAGGAGTATTTTTTGCATGATAAAATTGAAAATGCTAAAAATACATCTTTGATAATATGTTATTCTATCAAGAAAATATTTGAACTATTTGAATATAATGGTTATTCCGTCGTTCGTCTTGCATATCTGATCTTTCCAAAAAATTCTAATAACCTATGATATTTATATTTATGTTGTTGCTTCCAGAAAGTGATACCGATAAATAATTAATACCGATACATAATTAATTAACTACATACGTATCGATTATCAGCCATCGTTGGTGATGTTTATAGTAAAAAAATAGAAATTTGTGAAATATTTGAAAATCTTGGTCAATCGATAATTTTTCGTCAAACTGTGCCTGTTGACTCAAGATTAGAAAAGATTATATTGTAAGTTTTGTTAAAGAAACCTGGAAATATTCTTGTGCCGATGAAATCAGTGACTACACATCATTCAGACAGTAACATTCAATATCGCGCATACGATTACGAGCAATATTTTGTATACATGTATTTTGTAGTGGGAGAATAGCTAAAGTAAAAAATTTTGCAATCCGACGGAAGATCAATTGAAAAACGAAAAGTGATAAGATGAGCTGTGCAGACTTTTTTGAGTTAATAAAATTCTTTGCAGTCTTTTCCAGAAAGGCAAGAAAATTTGGGGTTCTATTTCTAGAGAATATTCTTTATTGAGAAATCTCAAATACGTCAATTACAATTCTTTTTAGAAAAATCAGCCAAAGGGGGTAAGTGGAAAATAATTTTATTCTACGTAGTAAATTCGATTTAGTAGCATTATTCTCTACAAATCAATGTCTTTCTAAAAAATCATTGTTTCTAAAAATACCGATTTACAAGATTAACTGATTCACGTTTCATAGCTCTTTATTGATTTACTTTAGGACTACGTACATGCACATGTACAATGATCCTCGTATAACAGTCATTGGACTATTTAAGAATTTATCTTTCGAAAATTTTTTGTTGTTGGACAGTTATTGGAAACTTCCAATGATATTGTATAATGGAATTGAAAGGAATCCGCATCATAGGAAGCTTCCAAGAATGTCTAAATGATATCTATACAATCTATCTTTCTTCTAGATGTATTATGTCCGGTTTACCAAGTGTCACTGTACTACTACCAATTAACAAACATATATATAACGATAAATTAATTTTTCACTCAATGTTTGATTGATGTTTTTGACAGCTCATAACAATAAATATTCCAATAAATATAAAATCATGTTCTTATTCACATTAATTTGTTTATACTTAACTTTCTTTATTACAGTAATAAATGCACAATCACCCTACTCCCCTAATGATCTAAGAGCTCCAGAACGCGGAATACTTATTGACAAGAAAATTATAATCTTTGATAGTGCTGACTTTGGCATTAAAAACACCAATGCTTTTTCCTTGGACCTTTCTACTAATTGGACCGTATCAGAGCCAGCTTTCACCAAAATCGATAATCTATTGAATGCACCAACGTTTCGTTATACTGCTTTTAGTGCACTTAAAAACAACACTCGCTCATTAATATATGCTTTTGGTGGATTAATTGTAAGTATAAGTATACAACGAATACTATTTAACTTCTTTAATTAATTTTAAAATATATTAAATAGCCAACCAATGAAAGTAATTGGAATTCAGGAACTTTCGTAAACGACTTTTATCAAATTGATGTAACGTCTTACCCAATTTCAATTTCCTCTGTTAAATCCGGAGGTGCTTTACCAAGCAGATGCGCATTTGTTAGTTCGATTTTTGATGACAAAGGAAAACTTTATATCTGGGGTGGAAATACTGGCGATACTACAGATCAAGCCATGTACATATTTGACACAGTTGACTCAACATGGAGCCGAGTTCTCTCTTCTTATATTCCTGCGCAAAGATCAAGCTATTCAATGACTTTCACGAATGGCAAAATTTATTTTATTGGTGGAGTTTTCGCAAATACCATTAAATATGTCGATATTCGCGAGGTATTATATGCGTTTAAATTTGTTGATAAAAAACGCTATATTAATATATTCTTTAAAGATTTTGATATATGATACTCTCAATACAAATAATAATCCATGGTCTATAAGAGTAAGTAAGCCTCGTGAATAAGTTAGATTTTCAATTATTGAATAACAATTTCATAATTTGGTTTAATTTAAAAGAATGCGACAAATAATACATATATAAGTGACCGCTATTTTCATTCAGCCGTTCTAGGTAAAAAAAAGTATTTAGTAACAATAAATCTTTTAATTATCATATAAAAATAACTAATAAATTATATCTATTTATAGTGCCCAATAGCCAACAAATTATTCTATATGGTGGCTCATTATCAAATCATTCAGGCGTTTCGTCTGATTATTTGATTACTTTAGACTTGCAAACGTTCGAATTTTCAGAGCTTGTAACTAAAAACAAGCCTAGCATTGACGATATCTCGGCTTATCCCACATCCGTCATATATAAAAATTATATGATTGTATTTCCAGGTAATTATTTATTAAATTGCATATAATTAATAACGATAAATATTGATTTTTGTTTTTAATTATTTTAGGATCTTTTGTCACTCAAAAGCCTAATAGAAAAGTTATCAATGTCTTGGATTTAAAAGATCATACATGGGTCGATAAATTTGTCATAACTTCACAAAACTCAAGTTTTATAGCATTAAAAAGTGACGGAGGAGGAAATACTACAGAATCGGCTGAAAATTATAAAGACTATAATAGCAAGAAAACTACGATAATTGTTTGTTCCACAGTTGGCGCAGTTTTACTTGCACTTCTCGTATTCTGCTTATTTCGTCCAGCGAATGTTAAGTGTTTCGAGCAGTACCACACGGCACCAGCTGCTATGCCTTATTCTCATTAATTTATCGATATGTATTTTAAGATACAATCAAGAATTTATATGTTAATATTTAATAAATTTTGCTTTTTGATACAAACTTTAATTATAATATTTTGAATCAATCTTTATTTTGCAGTTACTACAATTGTGCATTTTTTAATACTAAGAATTTAGGTCTACTGTATCTTGATAAATTTCAAAGATTAAAAAAGATAATTTTGATAACTACAGGATTATCAGCCAAAAACTAAAAATTATTTTGGTATAATTTGAAATACTTCATAATCATCTTAAAGTAATTCTATTATGATGACCAGAGCCCCGTGACTTTTATGGATGGCGAAATTTACTATATTGGTGGCACTTTTTCGAAAAACACTATGTGTCGATATTCGCGAGGTATTGCATACATTTATTATATTTTTTTGATAATTTTTTTGTATATTTAAATTTTCTTTTAAAGATTTTGATATATGTTACTCTCAATACAAATAATCCATGGACTGTATATGGTCTTACAAAGGGTGCACGCTTGAACATAAATCACGAAGGCCAAATCGGCAATCAAAAATATGGATTGGATCTTTGCAATTAGTTTTCAATGATATGGATCCTTGGCTTGTTGAATTGCTTGTGATATCTCCTTTTTTATTGCAATTGATTAGTCTTATTATATCAATTATAGGTTGTGTCGAACAAAAACCTATTAATGTTCGTAATTGAAATGTATACATACATGTAATAATACATGTATATACTCAGGAATAATTTCCTTTTAACCAAACAATTCTCGTTTAGCCATACAACTCATACAACTGTGATTAGGAAATTACCATATAAACCATACAATTCATACAGCTGTAATCTAATTACCATATACGTAACTAGTATTACAAGCGACCCAGGAACAAAAACTATTACATGTACATGTACTCAGAAATAATTTCTTTTTTAATGATTTTTTTTAACCAAACAATTCTCATTTAGGGAAATTACCATACAACTCATACAACTGTGATTAAGAAATTACCATATAACGTTAACTGTTAATTAGGAAATTACCATACAACTGTGACTTAATTACATGTACCATATAGCTGTCAGATTAAGGAATTACCATACAGCTCATACAGCTGTAATTTAATTACCATATACGTAACTTATATTACTAGACATGCACTGAAATGCTGCCTTAGAATAGTTTGCCATATAAAGCGTACTATCGAGTTACGTGGAATTAAACAATATGTAGATAGGAATATATATTTAATTAATGAGGGTTATGACACTTATGATATGGTAAAATGTCTTCATGTATGGAAGGCGCGTGGTCATCATCTAAATATACGGTGGATATTAGAGTGTATTAAAGAAGAAGGATATATGTTTACGCGGTTAATAGAGAATGCATCAAAGGAGGATAAATATGAAATAACTCGGTTAAGTTATCGGAATTTCGTGTTAATGCGGGATATCATGGTTCAACATGAAGATGTATATAATGGATGGTGTAGAGATAAAGGGATAAAAGAGAATGAGATTTGGTATGGACTTTTGTATATATGTAGAAATAATGGTCGTGTAAAGTATGAATTAGATGAAGTTAGATGTTATAATGATAATAAATAAAGTATATATAGGATTGGTGATATCAATCCAGAGATGAATCTGAGTAAATATATCACATGTAGTATGTAGGTAAATCAATTAATGTTGAATCTACATAAACCAATAGAAACAACTAAACATAAATAAATATCTTAGCCAACCAAATGTCTTTGAGGGGATTCAAAGTTACATCGTATACATGTAGACTCTGAGTTAACTTGGGTCGAAGACACACGTTTCAACGCACCGCATACATACACGTAACGCAGGGTAAAGTATATATACAGTGCTCGTCAGAAGTAACGGACCCCCCATAACTTTCTATAGATCATGTGTAATTTTCCGAGCATAAAGAACATTACAAATGCTGATCATGATACCTTTATAGATTGGTAGAGCTTCTATATCTGGTATTGTATGTTCATAAACTTTCATGCCCCAAATACAATATTGGTCACTTTAGGA